ATTCGAATTAATGATGAAAAGCGTATTTGCGTTCAAATGACTGGACAGAACTAAACTTTTTTTTAAAAATTTTATTATAATAGAAAGAAAGAAAATTAAAAAAGGAAAATTTTAAAAATTTTTTTAAAGGTAAAAGTATTGTAGAACTCTAAGTAATTCCACAGGACTCAAAAATCTTTTACTTTTTAATTTTTTCATTTGATTAAACCATATTAAAAAAATTTTTAACTAAATGACTTGTAAATTTAGAACAACTCCACATACAGAATACGAAAATGGATATTAAATTAAGAATTATGTTACATAGACAAAAATCATACGATAAAAATTTATAATTAATGCCCCATTAAGAATAAAAGCATTCACAATTTGCGCCTTAACACCAAACAAATTTTGAGCTTTTATTAAAATTCGAAGATTCATCATAGAAAATACATTCAGATTGTAAAAGGAGAAGGTAAAATAACCACATGCTGGTAAAAACCTATTGCCAATGTTACAAAATTTAATTTATTTTCTAAAATACATCAAAAATTTATTAAAACTAAACATAATTTTGATCCTAAGTGTGTAGTTTACCCTAAATTCAAAATCATTAATGTAAGCTTAATATATACAGGTATGGCCAATATAAGGTCCCTGTAATGAGTTTATGAAATACCTTTACAATTTAATTACTCAATAAATACATTCTTAATATAAAAATATTATTTAAATACTCATAATTTCTAAGAGGTGTTCGGGTTTCAGTCACTCATGGCGAAACGACAAACAAACTCGACAGAGTCATTGTCGTTGACAACTGTCATGATATGCGCCTGAAATGAGAAAAATCATTCAGTAAAATAAACATCCGTAATGTTAACATTTCTAAAATAAGTAAAATTCACACCAGATTCGCTTCCAAGGTAAAAATTATTATGCCCTTAATGCAGTTTCGTACATTCGTATGACGAAAACATAACATGTATTCGTAATTTAATTGGAACCGAACCGAAGAATTTTAAAATTCTTACACCAAACCTTACATATACGATAATACCGAAGATACTATGACTTGCGCACAATTTGCCGTATATCTAGAGGTAAGTGTAGACTGAATTGTCAAGTCGTGTAGAACTTTCGCAAACATACTTTTATATTTACTTTTATACAGGGTGTCTGAATTTCGATAGTATTGCCGGAATCGAGTGTAAAAAACCTTTCTCTATCGCTTCATGGACATGTTTTTTCCGAGATATTTGCAAAATATTTGATATCAAAATGAGTCTTAGAATATCAGCATTCGACTTCGGTAAAACACAAGTATGATATTACTCGTATGAGTACACAATGGTTAAAAAAAAAGATATTGAGCATAAAAATTGGACGCTCGAATGGACAAAATTTCGAATGGACTGCCTTTAAAATTCGAAAAGGAAAGCGAAAAATGAAAATATCCCGCATTTTATTTGTTGGCCTAGATTTATCCTATCTTCCTATTTCCACTATAACATCAAGCCACACACACTCTGTACCGGCCTTTATTTATTCACATACACAGACTATAATTAGTTATGAAATTTTTTATTTTGTTTTTGTTTTTGCTCTGTTCTATAGATGGCTTCCTTTTTGAAAACGTTTCCAGTTGATTGAATATGTCAAAGTGAATTTTCATCATATTTTTAGTGGTTGCTAAAAATTTACTGTAAAAAGGTAAAAGGGATAAATTTAATTATCCCAAATGTTGTCTATAAAAATATAGAAAGAGGCTTTTTATTTTTTTTCTTCATTTTCATGGTCACTTTAGATTATCACTCGATATTTAATAATTCTCTTGTTTTTATTTTAAAAAATAAAAACCAAAAATAAAAATATTTTCAGACAAGGGTTCATCTTGTATCTTGGAATAAGCAGAAATGTTTACTCTTTGGTTTTGTTTCATTGTTTTTTTTTTTGTTTGTTTTTTCAAAAATTTGCACGTGCCTTTCTGATGGACTGAAATGGAGCCATTTAAGCTGATTGTTTTCTGTCTTGGAACTAAAAAAATTTTAAGAAAGTTTTTAATATTTTTGTTTTCTTTTTATTTTTTTTTGCAAAGTTTATGAAGCGAAATTTTTGCAAAAATTTTTAAATTTGACAAAGAGTGTTAGATTTATTATTGTTTATATTTATATTGGTTTTATAAGGGTTAGATTTCATTGAATTTATGCGAATTTTTTTGACATTTATAGAAAATATGTCAAATTAACTCTTAATAAATTTATTAATTGGAAAAAGTTTATAGGTATACAAAATTAAATTTTATTTAATCTTTTTTCAAAAGAACTGTCACAATGTGACAAATTTTTATTTAATTGTTTCTGATAATTATGTTTTTTTAAGAGTGATACATTAGCGTTTTCAATAAGAATGAATATACAACTGTGGTTAAAGCGTATATTCTTTGTGGACAAAACTAACATTCATGAATTTGAAACAGCTTCTATGCCTAACATTTAAATTTTAAAAAAAAAATTACTGCTTATAAGCTCACATAATATGACTGCTTTCTTAACTCAAATATCCGAAATATTGAAATATACGGTATAAATCAGTTAATGAATTTTTCTGGAGTCTTTGCTTAAAATTTAAGCAATATCAGCCTATTAGAAAATGCTACGATTATATAACAGTCGTTCTCTAATATAGGTCAATCTTGTTTTTCTAGATTGAAATTTAATAATAAAATTTTAAGAACATGAATGTTTTGTACATTGCACAACGTTAGGCGCAACCCATTCAAAAATGATAAAATTCCCTTATAAAATTAAAAATTGCTTTAATTCATTTTATACTGAAAATTCTTTTGTTTTTCTTGTTTTGTTTTTCTTTAATTTTTTCTTTCAGTACAATACAGACATACCAAATACATATTATACCAAATCCCATTTTATTTCCAATTATCAAGAAATCATCCAGTAAGATCGTCAAGTTTCCAGGAAATACTCTAAATTTTTTACTTTAGTTTGAGAGGGATATTAAGTTTTTTTTAGTTTTTTTTTTTTAATTTGATTGCAATATTTCACTCAAATTTATTCAATTTTATTATTATAAAAAAAGTTTAAAAAGGATAAATTCAGAAAATCTTTTAATCTAAAAGCTACAAATAAAGGTCTAAATATTTCTTATAAATTTAGTACAATCACATATTACACCCTACATTAGGGAACATTGGAGAACCTTATATGGAAATTTACGTAACACAAACTTTATCAAATAAATACAAGTATCATATACATATATGTATATGTGAATTAATTCAAAATTAATACAACATAGTAAATTGTGAAATAAAATTGAACTGTAATTTACGATCAGCATAAATAAGAATATAACATGTGGCATGTAAATCAAAATTCATTTTTATACAAACAGAGAAAAATCAAATAATATCCTTGAATAATATGTTTTATTTACCTACTTATTTTTGTTCATGTCCTTTCTGTCTACACCATAATAATGTCCACCTATGTATATGTACATGTGTGCTCGTACATTTTCGAATAATTCTCTATAACAAATTCTAACTGTTAATAATAATTTTGTTTACATTTTGAAAAACCAAAAAAAAATATGCAATAACAAAAATTCTCAGTACTGCCAACTTATAAATTATTGTCAATGTGTGCAATATATGTACATACATAAGTGCACAAACATATATATTTACATATTTACATACAATACTAATAACTGTACGTCATATTTTTTCGTAAAATTTTTGTTTTTCCTTTTCTAATATTTTCGTTTTGTTTCGTATTTTTCAGAAAAACAAAAAAAAAAAAATTTGTTTTTTTTTTTTTTTTGCTTTTGTTTCATTTATTTCGCTTTGTTTCTCTCTTGTGTCTGTCGTCTCTTTATATTTTATTGCTTATTTTAGTCGCGGTATCGAAGTGTGCTTGCGCCTCCCTTTTATATCGCGTTTTCATTAAAAATAATCAAAAGAAATAAAACGAAAATTAAAAAAAAAAGAGAACAATAAGAAGAAACAAAAATAATTTTTTACCATTATAGTTTTGGTACCGTTTTTTGTGTTTCTTCTATTATTGTTGTTATTTTTGTGTACTTTCCGTTGTTGTCATTATCATTTATTATTATTGTATTATTTTTTAAAACATAATTTTTATTCTTCATTTTTTTTCTCTCATATATTTTCGCGATTTATTATATTAAAAGTGAATTTAATATTGAAAATATAGTAAGTGTTTTTTAATACTTTGAGTAAGCGAAAATCAATATAGGAAAATTTTACGAAACCGACGGGTTTTTTTTCTCTTTTGCATCATTAATATAATATTTTAACAATATTAAAAGTGAAGGTCCACAACACTAAAAAATGGAATTATTTTGATTATAATTTAATTTTAAATTCTTAATTATACTTAATTATTTTATGAATAATTAAAAAATATTCTAATTTAAAAAATTTAACAATAATATGAAATTACAATGGGAATAATTTTGGAATTTTTGTGAAAAATATTAAAAAATTGAGAAGTCCTTTAAGGACTGTTAAAACAGAAAATAAAAACAAAAAAAAATCTTAATAAATTTGACAAAATTAAAAAAAAAAATATATTTATTTTCATTATTTATTTTCGAATTTTATTGTAAAATCATCGCTATATGAAAAATATGAATCGCATACATTTTAATTTTAAAAATTATTATTTAAAAAAATTAAACGTAAATTTTAATTTAAAAATATCAAATCAATAAAATATATTAATAATATCATTTTTAAATTTAAATAAAAATATTCATTTATTTCTTAATATTAATATTAATAATCCAAATCAAATGTAATTAAGTGAAAAATTATTTTTAGTGCGTGCTCATACAAATTTTAAGAATATTCAAATATTTTTTTTAAAATCAGTGAATTAAATAAAAAAAAATTTTTTATTCTATTTTTTAATTAATATTCGAATTTTATAAAATTATTTTTATTAATTTTTTTTTATTAAATAATTTTGAATAATTTTCTTATTTGAAAATAAAATTTATTTTAATCACTTTTTGTATTAAAAAAAATATTTTTTTTTTGTATTAAAAATATTTTTAATATTCTATATGTACAGAAAAAAAAATTATATAAAAAAACAAGAAAAAAAATATCTCTTTTTCTAAAGTGAATTTGAATTCATTACTTTAATTTTATAATGTTGTATAATGTACCACCGTATAATAATTTTACAACCCTGGATTACTTTAAGGTTTGTATATTAAAAAAATAAAATTATTTTTTCTCAAGTATTTAACAAATATAAATATATTTTATTTAATTTAATGTATTAAATTCAATAATTAAAATTAATTGATATGTTGGAAAAAAAAGCATTATTTGCTCGATAGGTGTCATACTATTCTTGGATTTTTGGGACAATTTAAACATTTTATCTAATAAGGACAAATTTTCAGTCTTCATGGCATTTCAATTCTTCTTCTAAGGATTTTTTTTTAAAATCGAGGCTTGCAGGGCCTTTCTTACCCTTTTGTAATTCGTGACCAGGTTACATGAGCTCTATTTCCAGATCCCTCAAGAATCTCAGTATTACGTTGTGTTCAAGCGGTAAGACCTTCGAAGGATTATTATATTTTAAGGTTTACTAAATCGAATCGTTTATAAGTAAATTAAGTTTGAAATTTTTTAAAATATTCCAAAAACAGTTTTATATGCATTTTAGAAATCAATTAAGGAATGTGAATATTAACCTATTTTTTCAGAAAGTATCAGTAAACAAAACGGACCGTGTCAGATTTGATTTTCGATGTGACTTCCAATGTAAAACAGTAGAATTAGTTTAGCTCAACACAAGATAATAGAGGATTTTTTTTTTTGCGTTTTCATTCTCTTACGAAACGCAATATATAGAATACACAGGGTGATTCAAAAAGTTATACAACTACATATACCATTGCAATGGTTAGAAGATCGAAAATGGGTAAAACTGTTGTTCCAGACTAGGTGCCAAATCTCAATGGTTTCCGAGTTCCTGGGATTTTAACGAATTTTCACGAAATTTTTACTTATTCAATGTTTTTGGATTACAACTTCCATTCTGAAAAATATAGGAATATACGAATAAACAGCTTCTGAAAGGCCTAGTAAAGGGCTTAAAATAGAAGAGCTTCTTGATTCTGCATTTTATGTACGTTCGGAATACTAAGCATTCGAACTTTAGGGAAAATTAAATTTCTTCTTTGCTTTATTTTTTCAATTTTTTCTAACTAGATAATTTCGTAAGAAATATTTTAGAACCTTGAAATTTTTTTTTTAAGAATTTTGCCCAGCTGCTTAAACATTAATTTAAGTCCTCCAACATTAAAAAAATTTTTATGTTACAGAAGATATAGTACAAAAACCACAAATATTGTGAGCCATAAATTCAATTAAAATCAAACCAGATGATTGATAATACTAAAATTAAATTCAATTTAATATTTTCCTTTATCAAAAAATTTGGAAAAATTCGAATTCGTTATCCAAAAATTTTACAAATCTCTCAAAACGAACGCCAAATTCTCCTATGAAATTCTCCTAGTTCGGCAAAAATTTATGTTTTTCTTCTTTTCAATCTATTTCTATTCGATTGCATATTTTAAATTAATTGCTTTACTGGAATACCTCTTTAGTTGCATCAACCGTATGCGCATTTAGTTTTTCTAGAAATTTGTTTAAAATTTATTAATTCTATTAAATTATTAATAAAGCATTTATTAGCTTCATAATGCTAATACCATATCATTTACATACTCCATTTTGTCAAAAAAAATTAAATTTTCCTATTGAAAAAATTTTTTTTCAATAAAAAAAATGTCAAAAATTATATGGCTTGCCTTCAAAATTCGCTCCAGCTGGATAATTTTAATAACTTCAGATGCTAAATGGTGTCTAGATTTCGAAAATATTTTTTTCAAATTTTTAAATTACAGCCAATCTGAGAAAAACGCATTTAAAAATTTCAAACCATATAGGTACCATTTCTTATAAAAATTGGCAAAAATGAAAAACCTATCAATTTTCTTTACCAAGAAAAGTTTCGAAAAAAAATTTTTGATTACTAGATTTTTTTTTTGTTTTTTGTAATACAAAATTCTAGTTTTTCTTTTCAAAAATTTCAAATTTTTTAAATTCAATTTTTGTTTTTCAATTAAAAAATTTGTATAAAATTTCGTTTCAATTTTGTTATTATTCGTTACATTTCAATAAAAACATTAAATTTCAGATTTTTTATCAAAATAACGGCTCTTAAAAATGTCAACTGCTTTTTCGAGTGACTATTGTTACCAAAAATTAATGATAGTTGACAATTACAACGCTTAAAATTCTTGCCTTTAAGAGTCTTTAAAATCTTGACATAGAAACGGTTTTTGTGCTACATCTTCTGTAACAAAAAAAAATTTCAATGTTTGAAAGTTAAAGTAAAGCTTAAACAGCTGGGCAAAATTCTATAAGAAAAAATTTCAAGGTTCTAAAAAATTTCTCACGAAATTATCTAGCTAGAAAAAACTGAAAAAGTCAAGGGAAAAATTTTATTTTCTTCAAAGTTCGAATGCTTGGTATTCCGAAGGTACACAAAATACAGAATCAAACAGCATTTCTATTTCAAATCCTTAACTAACCCTTTCTGAAGCTGTTTGTTTGAAATTCATATCTTTTTCAGCACCGAAATTATAATCAAAAAAACCGGGATAAATAAAAATTTCGTGAAAATTCGTTAAAATTCGTAAAACTAGAAACTCTTGAGATTTGGCACCCAGTCCGGAACAAAAGCTTTACCCATTTTCGATTTTCTAACCAATGCTGTTGTATAACGTGAGTCTGTGTAGAAAATTCATATTTTAAATAAATTTAAAAACTATCAAATTCATTGTAATTAGTTTTTATCAACAGAATTTTAAATTTATATCCATGTACATTTTAAAAAATTAATATCTAGAACTCAAGGTTTAAGAAGTAATTAAAAGACGAATTTACTTTTTCATATTTTATATTTTGTTATATAAAATGTTTAACAAACCTAAAACAGAAAACTAGAATGTTAATATTAAAAAATGTTCAATAGCCTATTACTTTCAAAGGATTGATATAAAAAGTCAATTCTTTCAGTATTGTTCCCTGTTCATCTAATTTATAGACAAAACAAAATTTATGTTCACGTAGAGTAACTCGTATGCCTTAAAGTAAAATAAACATTGTTTTAATAATTGCCCTTGTATCACAAATTCGTCTAGAATAATTTAACGAGAACATGATTATTGTATTAAAATATAATTTAGGATTTTACGAGTAATTTCCCTACATAAATAAATTATACTCGTATTATAGTATAATTAACACAATTCATTTACAGGCAATATTCATATTAAATTTTTATTTAAAATCTCAGTCGGAAAAAAACGCCTTATAAATTTCAAGGTGTGTAATTATAGGGCTAATTTTTCAATTGGAACTTTAAAAACAATTTTAATGTAACCTTTTTTTTACTAGACCGCCTCAGAAATTTAATTAACAGCTGGAGTTCTATATAAATATTTAATATACAAAAACTAATGATATTTTCAATCAAAAATATCAAAGTGAAATGCGAATTACAATAAAATGTTATTTAAATTGTGCCACGGAATTTTTTTATTTTATTCTGCATACAATGTTGTGGTTTATGAACTTAAATATATCTTTGATATATAGAATTGATTTGGCGTTGCAATAATTCAAATTAAACTTAAAAAATAAAATGCACAATCAACAATTTTTCTATTATTTTCATTTAAAAATTATTGTTTCCTCTTCATTGTTTTTTCATTTATTTTCTATTATAATTATTATTTCTAAGAATTTTTTGTTAAATTCCCTTCCTATATTTATATAAAAAACAAAACGATGTATAAATGTCGGTGTAATCTGTACATAATATAGAAAAAGAAAACCCCCCTCTGATTCTTGTCATTGATCCAATTGAAATCCAGTATGAATATGAATTAACATTAAATTTCTTGATCCTACTATTAGTTCAAATTATTCAACTTAAACTCCGTTCACATGCTGCTAATCAAAAATTATTAAATATTATGTATGAAAAATGTTCCATATTAAGATTTTTTCATTCAACATAGAAAGTTGATACTTGTATAAAATTATGGAGCGATACTGATTATATTTTCTGATTTACGATAGGCTTGTCACCTACCTACTAATCTCAATGACGTAAAAAACTGGTTCATGGTTATCTACAATATATCGTGCACCGACCCTACGTTCCTCCCAGGAACGAAGTAGCAATAAAAAAAGAAAGTACTGATTATGTAATAGAAATGGAAAAACTTTTTAGTGCCGCACTTTGTCCTGATGAGAATTTGTTAAGTTTTTGAACGTTTTTGAATTATAATGTCAGACGTTTACGTTGAACGTATAATGTCCCTATTATTCCTATAACAGAATTAATTTACAGTACGTATTTTCGACGTTAACATCGAAAATGTTAATATGGGAACATTAACTATAATGTTCCTAATATTGGAACTCTGCAATGATTTTCAATGAATTTCTGGTCTGCAATTCAAAATAAAGAAGTTGAGAACAAAAAAAATAGTCAGTTTTTATATTTTTATAATACACTGGTAATCAGATAGGAAATTTTCAAACTACAACAATTTACACCACACGAATCTATCATATTTTAGGTATTCAAATTAAAAACTTATTAATTAATGACCATGGAACAATTTGAATATACTTTAGTCTCTAGGTTTTGTTAATATAGAATTTATTTTGAATACATTTTCTAATTTTAGAATTTAAATTAAAGGATATTTTGAGAAGATTTTATACTCGTAATAGCATCATCGTCTCATCAAAAAATCTTAATTAAAGTTAAGTTCCATTAGTTTAAGAGTAGTAAGTACTGATCTGCACTCAAAATATACACCAAGGTCAATTTCTTCTATTTCTCATAATTTTATTCATGGAAACACAACCATACTTTATAAGAATTTTAAAGAAATAGTACTGTAGAATATTTATAAGTATATGTATAGACATATTCAAATTATTTTGAAATTTGAACAAAAATTATTTTACCAACTATATTCTAAATGTATTAAGTATGATGGAGAATATGATGAAAAGAATCTCATATATATATATATAAAATACAATCTCTTGCATAATACAAAATCATGTCTTAAAAAAGTTCACGTTTTGCAAAATGAA